ACCTGCTTCAGGCTTCCCGCGAATTAAATGTTCGCGGGAAGCAGGGGAGGGGGCGGAGACTTTGGGAGGGGGCGGAGTTGGGCGGGGGCGTGGGCGGGGCTGGGGGCGGGGGCGGGCCCCCGGGGAGTGTCCTCCATTTGGAGGCACAAAATATGGTAACCCTAGTTCAAGCAAGATTTGTTTGATTCTTTTAGTGGTAAAAATTGTGTCTGAATTCCGTTGGTATTGATCATATCTTCACCCACCGGTTTCTGTCGGTCGGTTGGTTGGTTTTTAGCAGCATGTGGGAATCTGTCTCTCTCGCGGGATTTATGGGATCGAAGGTTTTTGTGCCTGGGAGGGGGATGAAAATGCAAAAAACGAAGCCGGGCACTTGAATAACAGGAACGGGACAGAATTAAAAACAGTCCCACTTAGGGCTCTAGTCTGAGGCCTGATGTGTGGTGCCCCCCACTGGCGGCTGCGCCCCTCTGGGCAGACCCAGCGCTCCCCGTGTCTCAGGCCAACTTTTGCTGCTCTCCCCCATTGCCATGAGCCCTCATTGCCCCGGCCAGCCGAGCTCCCAGGCTGGGCCACGCCCGCCCCCTGGGGGCTGCTTCCCGCTCTGCAGCCAGGCCGCGGCCCCTGGGAGCGCTGCCAGCCCCAGGGCCCCAGCAGGGTTCAATGGCTCCTGACCCCTCCTCTCCTCACAGCCAATCCGTGCCAGCCCTCCCTGCGGCGCCGAATGGAACCGGGACCCTCCCTCACCTGCTCCGTGGGGGCCAAGTGCCCCCATCCCCCCTCCTGGTACGACCGAGATGGCGCGCGACGGAGCCCAGAGCAAACCCTGGGCGCGGCTGGGGCGACTGAGCTGCGAATATCCCCATCCCAGCTGGACCCTGGCGCGGCGCTGAGATGCCAGTTGGATGGATACAGGGATGAGTGTGACTCCGACCAATCCCAGCCCCTGGGGACAGGTGAGCTCTGCTGCTAGACATGGCATGGGTAGAGCAGGGGGAACTAGGAGCCAGGATGCCTGGGTTCTATCCCTGACAGAGAGATGAGAAGAATGGGGACTAGTGGCTAGAGCAGGGGAGGATGGAGTCAGGATTCTTGACTTCTATCCCCATTTTGGGGAGGGGGATGGTCTAGTGGGTTAAAATGGGGGAGACTCAGTGCCAGGACTCCTGGGTTCTTTCCCCAGCTCTGGGAGGGGAGTGGATCTGTGGGTGAGAGCGAGAGATGCTGGGAATCAGGACTCCTGGGTTCTATTCCCTCAAAAACTCTCATCTGGCTCTAGCAAATATTCTTGCCCTATGGGACTGGACAGGGAGGGACCTGCCCCTTCGTTCAGTCCCGGGGCCCCGCTGACGAACTCTCACCCGACTCTCGCCCTCAGCCACCCCCAAGTTGCCCAGGGTCGAGGTTTCGTGGCCGGCAGGGCAGGCAGCGCTAAGGGAAGGTGACAATTTTACCCTGCGCTGCCGGGCTGCTGCCCTGCGGCCCGTCACCGGGTACGTCTGGTCCCGCGGGGACGTGTGGCTGACAGAAGCCAGAAAGGACTTACGTGTTGACAAGGCAGCCGTCTCTGATGGAGGGAGCTACGCGTGTGGGGTCTGGGTCTCTGGCGCCGGCTGGGGGTATCTGAGTCTCTCTGCGAGGGAATCGGTCGAAGTTCAGCGTAAGTATCAAAGGCTGGTGAGAGCCTCCTCCCCCGCAGCCCCCGATACTCCCCACAC